AAACTGGGAGAAGACTTATTGGTCTGTGTGATGCAACGTCTGTAGCAGGTTTTCCAGGTTTCGCTATGGCTATCACTTGTGCATACTTCCAGAGATTCGGATAGTGGCTCTCGCTTATAATGGCATTAAAGATGGATGTGACGAATGATAGTGTTTCCTTGGGTAATTCTTGTAATATTGTACCAGTTATAAGATCATGTCCTGGATTAGTAGGGATTTATGTGCTTTTATTGTTCTTGTATTTCACATAAATTGAACGTCTTGATGGTGCCGACTGTTGGAGGGGAGCCTGTAAACTTTCTGTTACCTCATTTTCCGAAATACTTCGTTTAGCTATTGGTTTGAATACTGTAGAAAAGTGTATAGCAAGACATTCGGCCTTTTCTTCAGGACTTCGTGCCCAAGTGCCATCTTGTCTTCTAACAGCGCAGAGTGTTGTTGTGGTCGATTGGTTTTTTTCTTTCCACAGTGAGTAATTATTATAGCTGTTGGTGACAAGGAATTTACGTAATTTGAAAATTGGTGTTTTGGTACTCTTTAGTTTTCTTTTTAGTTGCTGGGCTGATGCGTTAAGTTTCTTTTTGTCTTCAGCTGTCTGGTGTACATATAGATTCTACGAAGTCGGCGTTTTTCAGTTATTTTTTGTCTAATTTCTTGGGGTACGGTGAGTTCTTGATTACTTCAGATTTTGGTGTTGCTCTCCAGGCAGCGTTCCGTATAACCTCTGTTAGATGTAAAACTGCAGTATCTTATATCATTGCTTGATTTTAAAGGCATATTTACGTCATGAAGGTGGCGGTGATAAAATACAGCTGTTTTATTTAGTGAAGTTGGTGGTAGTGTAAGGCCGAGAACGAGTACTTCCTTTTGCGATGAATTTCTCAGCAATACCTTTTCATAAATTACTCCTCAGAATGTCCGGTGAGGTACATTACATACTATTTTATATCGTCTGATCCCTACAAAATGTACTGCATATGGAATAAAATAAAACCGATGAAACTCTATCGGAACTGTTATCATACGACGAAAGGAAACTCACGAGTGAGCAACCAGATTTTTAGTAATTATTTTGAAGTCGATTGCTGATGATGATTACTGTATTTGCATTATTGTTATCGTTAATATATTTGTTATTATTGTTATAATTATTATTGGGCAGGCGAATGTACATAGTTTCGATAACGTTGCGCTGGCAACAGTGCGTTGCTTGCTTCTTCGTTGACATGGACGTTTTCAAATAAGAGCTGAGGTGTTTGCGCGGAAAATACAATATTTCACTATCACGAAATAGTTTACAATAACGCGAATAAGTATGTGATGTTGTAGCACCTTGCTTATATTTCAAATTTTGCAAGGGAATGCGTACGTGAGTACATTACTGTCATTGTTACGGCAAACTCTGCCACTGAATTCTCCGTAATTTATTCGAAAATGTAGCAATTTTTCTGGCATACACTTCCATATATTTTCTCGTTTTTCCGTTCTTTACACTTTGTTTTCGATTTTCTTTACATAATTTATTTAAACTGTAAAAATATTTTTTGAAAAATTAGTTAGCAGAGCGTGGTTTCGATCCACGGACCTCTGGGTTATGGGCCCAGCACGCTTCCACTGCGCCACTCTGCTACACGTCTTATGGGGTGTTAAATTGTAGTATATAACTATGTACAAATATCCAAATATTATTTAATTGTTATTGATTTATATAGAAAATTTTTGTAGGTCATGATATTTGTACATTATTTGAAATGAAACGCTTTTCTTTAAAACAATAATGATAATAATAGTAGTTATTCTCATTCTTATCAAGTGTCTACGTCCAAGACATTACAGTATTTCTTTTACAGGACCCATTTTCCAACGATGTAAAACAATATTTTTCAGGGTTTTATTTAACGAAATCATTACCTTAATTAAATTATAAACATAGTTGGCGTTATCGTGAAGAAATTTATTGCACTGCAGATGTGATGAAAATACAAAATAATAGGTAATGTTACTTCATTATTAATTATTGAAAACTTTGCAGCATATGATCATTAATATTTGTTCAGAAATCCCCATCGATTAATAAAAAATAAAAATACGTGAAAAATACGCAGAAGATTGAGGACAAGGCATACGATTGGCGCGAGGGAGTGATATTGTATGCGCCGGCTGGAAATTTTGTCAACAAATAACTGAATGTTTAAATAATACTTATGCAGTTAACTATTGAAATAGAATGAATTTACAAAAATTAGAACTTGTTTCCGCCCGGGATCGAACCGGGGACCTTGCGCGTGTGAGGCGCACGTGATAACCGCTACACTACGGAAACATGTTGTAAGTTGGAATTTATATATCAATATGAAGAAAAGAATTAATAAACTCCGTTAATTTTGATTTAAAATTAAATTGTGTATAATAATAGACTAAGTTCTACAATATGGAAAATGCCATGATTAACATATGAAATATGATTGTAGCTATTCATTAACGCAATACTCTTCATATTTGTAAACCTGAATTCTGTCCTGGCTTTTATTATTGATTGTTATTGTTGTTATTTATTATTATTATTATTATTATTATTATTATTATTATTATTATTTTAATATTTATTTTTATTATATTATTTTATTATTAAAAAAATAAAATAGCTTTTAGACATGTATTTCCCTATGTATGTAGTTTATTCAAGTAAATTCCTAAACAAATTCACCTAAATGAAAACAACAATCAATAAAAAATTAAAATAAGTAATATTTTAATACCTACTGTATCTGTTTTAAAAAATCTTAACATGTGAGTATGGAAGCATTTCCTGAGTGTAAGATTTTAATTAATATGGAGGCATTTTACTGAAAGGAGGGTTAACCTAGTTCGTTAATATTTCTAGATTACAACTATTATTTACAATAAATGATATAGGATTCAAGTATTTTGTAAACAAATTTTGAGGTAACTTCAATTACTTTTCCTTCTCTTGCTGTCTTTGGTCTTCACAGCTAGTCTAGCTATCACAGAATATATGCCAGTGTTAATTATATTTCATATTGTGGCCAATGTTTTACAATTGTAGTAAATAAATCAACCCTTTGTTGAATGAACTATTGAAAAAATGGAACTAAATTGGTTATAGTTTGAAAAAAGAATATGATTATGTGCCGTGAAATATGCTCTCTTATTTATTTTCCTTAAAAGCAAAACTGACAACAACAGAATTATGTAATAAAATAAGTATGTTTATATTTCCCTTGTCTTTAAAGTTTGGAATCAAGTAATTGTAATTATCTCTACTGTAATAGTTGCTATCAATTTTATTCAAAACAATAAGAATTTATAACCAATTATGGGCAAGGTTATATGCATTGATAAGAACAGTGCTTTCTGGTTTTCTTTTAAATGAACTTTTAACATATTTTACCTAATTTAAATTTTTTTGTGGTAATATAAGATATAATAAGTTCATTTATATCAGAGATTTGCAGAACATTATTATAATCTATCCTAATGAGAGCTAGGAACTTCTAAGCTAGTTTCAAAATGTGTGTAATTCCTTTGACAAAGGAATGCTTATTATGGTTAGAGATAACCATGGAGCTATGAGTCATATCTCCATGGACCATAGCTCTGCCATGTTAACGCTCAGACCAGAATGGGATCAGACTCAGGGCCACCAATGTTCAAGAGCCCCCAAAAATTCTTTAAAAAAATTATTTAATGCTAAATTTTTCAAAAAATAAAATAAAAAATGTATAAAAAGTTACGTAAGATAAATTATTCGCCAAAAATTGTCATAAGGAGGGATGTGTGGTGCTTCATTCGATAATATTTATAATATGGCCAAAGGGCCTCTAAAGCTGTGAAAATGACCCTGAGGGATAAAGCCTCTGACATAGGGCATATGCCTGTTTTTTTTCAGCAGACATTGAATAGTGCACCAAAATAGAGCAAGAAATATGTGAAGCATTTATTAGGAGCAAATAAATTGTAAAAACATATAATACAGAAAAATATCATTCCAAATTACAGAAGTTTATAATTTTTGTTACTTCATTTGGGACACAAAAATTGGCAATTTTGAACAAATCATCACTCATGTGGAAGCATAGGAGAGTCAATTCTTTAGGTCGTGAATTGTCTTCTGTTCAGTGAGAATGGGATTAACTCTGCAGACCTCACTTAATAGTATAATATTTATTCTGAAGGTTTGTTGAGATACACAAGATGGTTTGCCAATAGGTGGAATCTTGGTGTATTACAGGAACAATTATAAAAACATTGGGATGTCACCTATAAAGCTATAGAAATTACATTGTGTATTGAAGTTAGCTATGAAAGCAAATATAGTATCCTACAAACTCTGAACATTTTCATACATTTTATTATTTGTAGTTGAAAATAGTGTTTTTTAAAATTACTTTCTATTCATTTCGGTTTTTAATTAGGATTCAGGTTATATCAAAATAACTTCTGTTATATATAAACTTCTTTGAAAGTACCAGTAAACAAGTATGAAATGCTGTTGAATGAAAATCCAGTTCGATTTCTATTACATGACATGGAAGACAATTTCATTTGTGATCATAAATGGAATAATGAAAAGTAGTGCGATACAGGCCTTTGATCTGCAGTGAAAGTATTTGCCCACAAAATAATATTATGAAACAAAAAATGTGTAAAGAAAATGGCTGAGAAATATTACTAGTTAATTGCTTTCCAACAGTAAAATTTCATATACAGTGCAAACTCTTTATAAAGAAACTCAATAATTTGAGTTCTTTCATTTGTTAAAAGAGCTTTTGCTATTTGGAGAGAGGGTATCAATGTACTGTAAATCAACAACACTCAAGTGATGTCTGTTGCAGAGAGTTTTTGTAATATACATGTTTGTTAAGGAGTGTTTTCCCTAGAACATTTTCGGATTCTTTATGTTTAAAATTGTGATGTTTTAATTATTTAATAGGACAGACAGAAGTGAACAGGAGGTTGCAAAAATATAATTCACATTTCTTTTTATATTTTATATTCTGAAGCCAAATTTACAGACAAACATGGCACTGTATAAGAACATGAATGAAATACAAAATAAATATTTGCTTAAAATAAATTACAAAGGAACATTTTATGATGTACAAACATGCTATTGCAAAATTCTGTAAGTTTTATATGACATTGCTAAATGAAGTCCAAAACAGGAACATGAAAAATGTCATTATGTTACAGATAAGGCAGCTGAGAACTTGGAGTTGTGTAATTTCCTCAAACCTTTCAAGTAATAAATTTATAAAAACCAATGTAGATTCTTAATGAGAACAATCCAGCCAATAATTAAAAGAAAAGTTCATGAACTTTGAAAGAAAAATTCTTGAAGTGGTTCTTTTATATTCACTAGCCTTTAAAAATAACTCTGGGACAACTGTTAATGAAGTAGACATATCCAACCTATCAATCATGTCAAGGTTGCCCAATTAGTAGTAATATATGATTGAACATTCTATGCAATTTCATATATACACATATACATCAATAGGTATATATGAGATGAAATATTACTGGATGGGTAAAGCTATGTCTGACACCAGGCAAAAAATGCTTAAAAGCAACCCTTGATGAAGAGCCAGGAAATTATATATTTATATATATACTATTAGCTTCCATCTACAGAATCTTACTTAGTAAAATCATTTTTTCAAAAGGTTCTGAAGGTTTACTACAGAAAGAGATATGAGTATTTTTACACTTCTTTTAAATTACATCCTGAGTTCCATTAACAATATTTTTAATAGTTCTTTCTAGTTGGGTAATGCATTTAAACATGCATGTTTTCCTTGTAAAGGTTACTTCCATGGGAATACGTAAGCACTATTCATGAAGGAAATCATAAACAGAAACATACAATCACAACCAAATATTTTATATCATATTGACAACATTTTATTGAATAAAATGTTGACAGAGATACAACTAACAAAGGAGAATTATATTCAAGAACTATGTTATTTCATAACGTCTTATGTAACAGGCAGTTGCTATTTCAACACTTTACAGATCTTTGATCTGTGGTGAAAGTAAATGCCCATTAAATTGTAATATCATTACGAAATATATCAACAAATAACACTGAAACACAGTATTATACATGTCTTATCTAAACTGACAAATGAGATCAATACATTTTAAAGGCAAAATCACAATTAAAAGCAATTCTAAATTCATTACTTTCTACTAACGTTGCCTTGGCTCATGGCCAAGTTGTACCATACATCTCAGGATTCATTATTCACTATTGAAGTGGTGTCACATGTTTACAAAACTACTACATTCAATTAAAATAAGGATCTTCCTAGACAAACAATACAATACGGTACGTTGATGCAGTAGGCTCGTAAACATTAGTCAGAAAACAACAGAATATGTATTTCAATGCTAATTCAAGAAATTCCTCCTTGGTGCATTTAAATCATTGTTTCCCAAGATACTATAAGATGCATTTATAATAATAGGAAATAAGTTAACTGGTAACAGTAATACTAATATAGTACTACTAATTGCACATGATATAGTAATAATGCTAATGCAATGGCATGCAATCACAGCTCTATTAATAAATATATAATTCTATTAAAAAAATCATTGTTTAAAGCATAAAAGACTTCCATGCCCCTACATCCAGTACACTGTTCTAATATTTGAAAACTTCTGAACATTCAGATTAAAGCAATACATTTGTACAACTATCTACAGTACTCAGTGTTGTTTTCAACACGTGTATCTGTAACAAATAAATATAGGGCAACCCAGCATGGTAAATACTCAGTGGCGGTTCGTGCAATTATCACTCTCATGATTGAATTCTTTGCAAAAATTACACTTACAAGAAACTCTCAGTTAACACCAGTTACTATGCTGAACAACTGTGAACAAACAAAGCATGTGAAAATGCTGTTCTCTGTCAGAGCTATCTAACCTAAAACTGCAAGCCTGGTTTCCGGCAACAATTCTTTGTCAATTACCTCTAACAAATGTGTGCAATGTACAGAGAATCTATCTTTCCACAGTTCACACTACTTTTAAAACTTGTCAGACTTACATGGAATGCATTATAATAACTCAATATCTATAACTTTTTCTTGGTACATCTACATCTTATCACTTCTACCAAATTGCTTCATGGCTTCAGCTGTCCTGGCAGTTCACTAGTTTTCACACATCATTTTTTCATGCAATGGTGATTACATAGTGGTTACTAATTTAAACTTGACAAGCGAACCGCCACTGTGCGTATTGATTACAAACATTCTTCTGGCATCCATCTCACAGCATTTCATTCCACAAATTAATGCAGAATATGTTACACATGCATTATATAAAAATGACAATGCATTAAAAGATTTATTTTAAAAACAAATGAACATATACCATCAATGAAGGCTCTTTATCTTCTTCACGGCAAAAAAATCTTTTAGAAGCAGCTTCATGTTCAAGTTCATACAATGTTCACAAGAATTGTGTCATGTCTGAAAGTACAGAGGCTAAGGTATGGCAACTGTATTGTGGTCAGTACCAAGAGGAAATTTCACTCCTTGAGACTCACCCAAAGTAGGGAGATGGTCTTCATGGCTACGGCCTGCCACATTTGGCACTTGAGCTATATTGTTCGAAAACATTGCTTCCCCAGACAACCCAGAGAACAAATTATCTTTTTCAATTGGAACTCCTCTATGTTCAGAGGTTAGTAAACCAGAATTTTTGCAAGGTTTACCTTCATTAGACTCATTTTCATTTCCTTTGACATGAGTTTTGCATTCATATACATTGTGTCTAATAGACGAGTCAGTAGAGTCACAAATACCAAATTGTTCATTGAGAGAAGAAGAGTTTTCATTTCTTGGACTTGTTTCTTGATGTTTATGAGATAAAAAGTAATTTTCCTCGTGCTGAACTGCTATTCTTGAAGCATTTGATTCAATTACAGATGTGTTTACTTCAATGCCTGATGCTGCTTCTAAAGTAGAAACTGGATCTCTGACTACACTTTCAGAAAATACTGGAAAAACCACATTATCTCCAGTTTCATTACGAGAATTGGAGAAGCAAGTAGCAGTATACACATTGGGAAAACTTTGTTCAGACATTTCATCTGAACTAAGTGTTGTGTTTATTGTGTTACCCTCTGTCCTGTTAAACTCTTGTTCATAATGAGATCTAATCAATGAGTAAACAGATTCTTCTTCATAATTTATGGCCCCCATATGTTGAGTACTATTTGTATTCAAAGGATCTGTGGACGGAGTAGTTGTCAGGTCGGTGGTTGTGGTTAGGGAAAGAGATGAAATTTCCCCATCCCTGTGGTGCTGCCCTTCAACTGCCCCAACTTCAATTTTTTCTGTTTGATATCTCCTATCTTCTTCCTGTCTCATAAAAAGTTCTTGTGAAGCAATTTCAATTTTCTCTTTGTCTTGACCATGGACAGGTGAAGATAGAATATTTTGTTCCAGTTCATTGTCAATATTTCTCGGTGCCCTTTGTCTCACTTCTTCCCGCCACTGTTCATCTTTGTTTTCACGGAACTTTTCTGCTTCTCTCCTACCATTTTCTCCTCTTTCTCTTTCTCTTTTGGCTTGCACGGCTAACCAGATGTCTTTGAGCTCCCCTGCCAAATCCCGGTCTCTGAGCACAGTGAATTCACGTTTAAATCTAACATCTGGGTTCATAGCTTCCACAAAATCAATCATCAGTTCCACCAAAGCATCTCTATCCTGAGAATAGAAGAAAAGAACACAAATTAGTTGCCAATAAAACTCACAACACAAGATACATGTACAATAATTTTGGCCCAATTTATACATTTAATATTGAGAATGAAAAATCTGATTAATCAAATAAAGAAAAAAACTCTCTGAAGTCTCCCTTGGAATAAGTCTAGTTTAGAATGGTGGTCAAAATTAGGACCTTTAAGATAAATAAATGATTTGGTCTCAGGGGAATAATTTAAGATGACAAATATCTTGGATTAAAAGCGAAACATATTAAGTCATGAGCTTAAGTTTTGAGAATACTACCATACTGACATGAGGGTTGTATACACATTTCTCCAACCAATGGGAAATTTCTTCAGAGAATTTTACTTCACAGAATTCCTTCTATAACTTTGCACCCATTTCTACATTTTTCTTCTGAGGAAAATAATGGGAGATGCCCTGAATGTGTTTTACAGAAAAGAAAAAACAATAACTTTTATCAAGAACAATGAGCCTTACTCTAAAATTTAATAAAATTCATAACAGAAAAAAATAATAATTCAAGATTTGAAACTTTTGATATAAAGTACACACTTTAGTATCAAGTGAAGAGCTTGATTTGAAACTTGCATGTTTTATTTTATAATATAATAAAAGGTTTGCATAATTTCGATATGGCACAATATTTTGATGTATATGTGAGGTATTGGTTGTAGTCATTGCCAAAACATTCTTTATTAATAAGTGGATTTTTGTTAGCTTGAACATTATTACCTGCAGTAAATGCCTGCATAAAATAATGTTAATGGAACATTAACATTTGTCACCAACCTTCTGAAATAGTCCAGTAACAAAGTATGATGCAAGTTCTAGGTCAGTCCCATCCAAATGAAAAAACACAAATATTTCAAATTGAAAATTCTTTCCTTGCTGAACATACACTTTGAATGTAATGAAAGAGGGTTAAAGAGATTTCTCATGTCAAATATCTTGTGTGAGAAACATGGCAAAAGCTCATATGAAACTAAATAAATTATTTTGTTTACAGAATAGAATATTACAACGAATGCAAATTATTTGCCAAAAATTAATATTCATGCTTTGAATTGCATATAATCACGCTAACATGTGGGTTATATTAGCATGACCCCACTGAATTGAAAATATAATATGTTTAAGAATATATTTTGAATAATATATTATTTTGTTTAAGAATATATTCTTTGTATTCATTTATGATTTGAAAGGAAAAGGTAATACTTGCATATTCACAAACAGCTTCTTTCATGAGAAACTGCTTTACTTACGTAAGAAGTTTTTGGCAAAACTTGATTTGTAATTCTGTCAACAACAGCTGGCAATTTTCTACCAATAAAAACTAAATTTGATTCATCTTAAAATATTGTTTACACAGGGAAAAATACTAAAACCTCTTGTATGTAAGACTGTTTTATGTAATTTTTCTATTCATTTATGAGTGATAGAAATGCATTTGATTACTGCTTACCACTAAATGAGCATATGCAAAAATGCTAATTAAAATTCTCATTTACTAGCATTATTCTAATATTGACAATATACAATTCTCAGGCCTGAATTTTGTTTTTGAATGTTCCGTAAATATTTACAAGAATAAGTAAAGGAATTTGCTTTTTTGAGGTAGATATATTTTCTTCACTATTTACTGAAATTGGGTGTGAGAGTGTTTGAATTGAATATAAGCAAAATTAAAAATTTAGCATATTATCATCAAGTCATTAAATGACAAGCAAAAGCAATGACCATCTGTATTTATGATTTTCTTTGAAAGGCAAGAGAGGTTTTAAGATATATTTCAATAATGTATGAAATCTTGTTAAGAACAATACATGTGTTTACTTTCTTGTAATTTAGATTTTAATGCAAGAATTTGACAACCTATTAAAACAGAGTATAATAAAATTCTCTTTGTGATCAAATACAAAAAGAATGAAATTATTTTTTGTTATTTATGTGCACATACACACCCAGGGTTATTCTCTGGGGAGGGATGGAGGTGTGTGAGTGTCTGTGAGTGTTGTGTGTGTGTGCGTGTTGTGTTGTGAATGTGGTGTGTGTGAGGTGTGTGTGGTGTGATGTTGTGTGAGTGTGTGTGTTGTGTGTGTGGCTGAAGCCTGTTTCTCCTCCCTTGCCTGAGTGCACCACTACTCATGGCAATTCATTTAATTGCCTTAATTATTGATCTAATATGATTTAATGTTTTGGTAAATATAACAGTCAGTACATTTTTCCTTCAATAGTGAACTAAAATATGTAAAATAAACATTTCAATTCAGCACTCAATGAAGCACTTTAACTCCTTGGTTCATTGAAATCTTTACAATGCTGCAACTTCAAAAGAAACTATTATATTGTCCCATCTACCATTTATTGAAAAGTAAAATATTGAAAATAAAGATCATATATATTTAAACAAACATTGAAGAAGCACGATGAACATAGAATGACACTTACTGATGGATCTGGTGCTGTTTTCCCACTTAGACGTAGAATTTCTGGATTTGCCATCACTGCAAAGATTACAGGCTGAACTTTTGCCCCAAAGTGACTGCTCAGTGTCATTGCAGCAGAACTATTGTGTGGTACTCGCATACCCCCGTAGAGGGGTATAGGGTCTTCTGGTTTACGAGGGGTGGAAATCTTCTGCCATGATAGCACATTGATAAAACATGGCTCGTTTGTGTCCTGAAAAAGGGGCAGATTTCAGTCTTTCCAACAACAGAATATACTCAACCCCATATGTGTCTTTTTGAGCATGCTACAATTTCAAATATAAATTAAATTGAAATTTTAAGTTGTAATTTTACATGGTTCATTTGTGTCCTGAGAAAAGCAGCAGGTTTGAGTCTTGTTAAAAACAGAACATCCCCTACCTCATATTGTTTTTTTGAGCATACAAAACTATGGAATATAAATTAAATTGTTTTATTTGACTAAAATTTGTTTAAGAATGTAAATTAAGTAAACAAATCAAAGATCATTATTCTTTTCTTATACCTCTAATTAATCAAATTGTTTCAATTTAATTTGTTGGTATTTTTTAAATAACAATATTTTGAAGGCACTTCTACACACACACATGTCAAAATGCATGAATATTTATTTCAGAATGAACTATAATGAATCTTAAAGGGGCAAATTTGGACCATAAAATATGAAATCAGCGGCTCATTTTCATAGGGATTTAAAACCGTGGTAGAAACCAAAATCCCACACAGGAAGAAATACTATTTTTTGCGAGGTACCTCTTTCAGAGGAGAACACATGAGCTCTTGACACGTACCTCAATGAAATCCTGTATGCACATGTGCGGTTGTGGGGGGTTTCTGAAATATCGGGCTCCGTTCCTTCCCCTTTCCATTGGTCTGTTGGATTTGCATAGAATGAGCGGAACGTGGTTCTTCGCTGCCTCAACAGCATCAGCTGAGCCGTAACGCCCTCTCATCTGTAAACAGACGTCAGCACCGCCTTTAGGGCGCCCCGCTCACCGGAGGCGCGAACGCGCGACGCGACGCGACGCGACGGGAGGGCGGAGGCGACACGGTGACTGCGCTGGGGGCGACGTCGCGAAAATCCCCAACCCGATACAAATCAACTTTGCCCCAGGGACGGGCGCACACCGCCTCCGCCGCCCCTCGCCCTCCTCGCCCCCCGCCCCCGCACGCGAACGGCACTGACCCTCCGCTACAAGCGACGCTTCCCACTTCCGAGGCGGCGGACGAGCACTCGCAGGACACACCATGGATGCGGAATTCGGGCAGCGCTCGCCCGATGTTGACGCGCAGCTCCGCGACCGAGGTGGCCCTCGCGTCGGTCGCGGCGGCGGCGGCTCCGGGATCGATTTTTGGGTCATGGGCCGCCGGTGAAAGCACGGAGAAATCTCGCTAACATGGCGGTTCGGGTCGCGACTCGCGCCGCGCGCGCGCGCGCTCGCTCGCTCGCTCATTCGCCCGTGCTGGCTGCGCGCGCGCCGCGCCGCGCCGTGCCGCGCCGAGCCGCGCAGGGCAGGGCTCAAGGCGCTGCGGACAGAGCGGTGACCGCTTCGCCGAGTTATCGCACCCCCGGGGCGGGGAAGGGTTGGGAGAAGCGCTGATTCGGGTTGACGACGCGCTCTGGTGGTGACTGCCTTGCACTACCACCAGCGTTATCTGGTAACAAACAGCTAATCAGTACTAAAGCGTCTGGTACGTGCTGCGCTCCTACAGCAAGTTGGCAAACTACCAGCGCTGAGTGTGTGGCGGGAATATTCGTACAATTTGAATCACTATTTCATGCATGCCCAGTGGTCAGTAGTAATATTGAATTAATTCAAACTTTAGCCCATTCCATATGTCTAACAGAAAAAAAATAATGGGATTTTCCACTCTATGCAATTTGTTTTAAATAAGTTTTCTTGGCGAAAATATGACATGCACAATTATGTGGAAAGAAACTAACACTATAAGCATTAAAGAAATTTGAAGCCCATCGGTAATCTATAGTTTCAATCATATTGTGACTCACATACTGCAGGTTGATTTCTAAGACATGAACTTCATAATATAACTATATATTCCACTACAACAGCATTGAAACCTTACCTACAGATAAAACAAACAACATTTGGCAATACCATTGTGTGTAGCTGTGATCTCAACAACAAAGAAAGTGTGCTGACTGGCTCCAACTTATTTCCAGTTATTGTTGGTCGTCTGAGCTAACGGCGAGACCATCGCTTTGGGCGAAGATTGCTTGTTGTGATCATGGAGCAATGAACGTATCATGGGACAATGAATGTATTCAAAGCTCCATGGTTGTGATGCATTGTTTTGTTGTGGTTGACTTTGTCATTCCAAATTTCGTGTGATTGAAAGTGAAACCTGAAATGAATACTACGAAGGAAGATATAGACTAGTTTATAGTGATTCGAAGTTTTAATTAATGTTCCAACTATATACATACTATTAACTTTTGTTATTTATTAATTTTTTTTATTTCAATTCTTTATAAAAAATGAAAATAAAATGTGCATAGTAATGTATATATGTTGATAGCATAACAATGCTATCAACAAATATTTGAACTATTAGTTGAACGTAATGTAAACTTTAGATTAACGTACGATAATACGTAAATACGAAGAAATCAGAAAGAAACAAATATTAGAATTCTTCTTGCAATTGCAAACCTTCACTCAGCTTTCCCGTCTCGTTTTAAGGTAAATTGCAAAATATAAACAGAATTCTTTGTAAGTATAAGAAATTTAAATAAAAATGTAATGTTATCAAATGCGATTCTATTGCTCCGAAGAAGAACGGCGCAGCCACGCAGGGCTTAAGCACCGCAGAACAGAAGAACATCTACTGGTTTTAGAAAAATAATGGCGTGTAGCAGCAAAAATCTCGCAGCGTGCATTTGATATATTTATGATTAATTTTAATGCTTCCCTAACTTGAAATAAATAATTTTAATCTCACAAATGCTATGAGAGCATTCCCTTTCTTATCAACTCCTTTCTACCTCGCTTTCATTCCTGTTTTTAATGTGAGAATCTCCTCATCTAAATTGCGAACGTATTTCTCTTTGAATAATTGTATTAAACTTTTGTTTGACAGTGGTCAAGCAGAAGAGCAGGCTAAATGGCTTGAGCCTCCCCGCCAATAAAGTCATTTATTTATTAATTTTATTTGAAATGCTGCGGAATGGAAATACACAAAATTATTTTTCAAAAAGTAGCTGCTCAAGTACCACACGTAAAATACTCGCGTATATTAAATATTTTAACAAAAAAACTTCACGAATGCTGCGGGAACGTAGCTTACGATATAGTTCGATAGTTCTGTACTTGTAATACGCGTACGTTTTCTTGTGCCGGAATACCTACCTCTATTACTAACAGTTCAATTCAGAGTAAATGATAGCAACGAGCGTTGTTAACAAACCCCGTTAAAAGAAATATCATGCAGAAAAATCATACCTGCAATTCGTTCACCGCTGCAAATACATTTTCTATAACGCGGGAACGAAAATGTCTAGTTTTTTTTAAAAAATTGCTAATCTCGCACTTTTTTTAAAATTTATTTTTAATTATTCATTTTGAACTTATGCTCATATTTCAACTATTTATAGTGAAAACGACGGGAAGGGATTTGAGAACTCAAAAAAAGTGCGGAGATGATCTTCTCCCCCATACGTCACATAAAGTGTTTACTGTTGTTTTTTACTAAATAAATCTAAATCTGAAATCTGAAATATTATCTGTAATAGAAACTATTTTGCGTCGAAACACGAGCTACCTTTTTGGGACAATAGTTCTGTGAGCAAAATAATGAAGCCCTCCACTCCTCTCGCATTCCGTGTAGTGAGGGATCAAGAAAACGGCGCGGATTATACCAACACCACCTAGATATACAAGGCCTTAGCAGTCATTCAAGATGGCCGCCTAAGAAGGCAATACTA